AGTAATTTTTGAAAATACCTGAACATTGCAATGAAGTTGTAAAAAAATAGTAGGCAAATTAAGCACCTAAATAACTAAGGATACTTATTTAATATGTCTTGATTGTCAGGCATACATAGAGCTGAAGAAGAATTACTACGAAAAGCCTCTAAATCCTTTCCATATATCTGCACAGAGTGTCGAAGCTATAAACCTCCTTCGTTATCGCGTCTGGGTTTGAATGATGTTGTAGGTACTGGTTCGTGGAGTATGCGCAGGCAATGAAAGAAATGGTGAGGGTCCAAATGGTTCTATTGTCGAAATGATGGTCTGTATTTTTGCTCCAAATTCTAACAATCGCAAAATGCTAAACGAGTATAGAGATTTGAATCATATTTAAACTGAACTATCTTGAGAAATTTAAACTTCCATTTCTTAAGAAATTTTAACACTTATTTCAACTTTTTTTCTACGTAACTGAGCTGATTTGAATCGTGAAGACATATATCAGGACAGCGACCACGTAAGCTTCCACAGTAAATCGAAACTATCTAGTTAAAAGTAATTAGAACGATTACTGAACATTTGGTAAGCTTGGTAAGTGGTGGTTAAAACAGCTTGTGGGAAGAACATAACCGAGATGTCGATGTTACGGTCTAACTACCAGTCGTTTTAGCCACTATAAAATAATATGAGATACATAATATTTGAGATTTGGTCTTGATCAACGCTTAACTAGTATAAAGCAACGCAGGTATTTGCAAATGCAAGAGAATTTGCTTGTAGAAATTAAAACTCAATTTCCTTGAAAACAGATACCCTCCACCAACTGCTTCGGCTGCGCATTTATCACTCGGTCAGCATTGTGATATGCCCATTCAAGCGGTTTTCGTCCGCACTTTTGTAAATGAACTCAGAGAATTCGTAATAAATTGTTGCAATATGTGCAAAATTTTGGAGTAAAATTACTCCAAAAAACGAAAGCAACTTGGCGTAGCAGGAACTTGCTCACGGAACAATTTCACCTGTTACTATTTTGAAATTGACAATAAATTTTACATAATTCTCTCGTCTGTGGGTGAAATATGAGTGCCATGGCAGCGAAGTAATGTAGCTTTTTAATGTGATGGATACAAAGAAAATCAAATACAAACCTGTCCAAAATCTTTGTTACGAAGAGCCATAGCTGTGTATACAATATATTCACCGTCACCACATGCAACAACAAAACGTCCATTTGAAGAATGAGCGAGAGTTTGAGGATAAATTTCACAAGCACCCAAATCCTTGACAGACAGAGGAAGTCGCTCTCCATCTCAAAAGATGTAGATTAAAGCTACAGCGCAAATCTCATCAATATAATACCTTGTATGGCTTCTGATGCTTCAGCATCAAGGGTTTTCAAGTTGGCCTGTTGAATCTCTGAGTGACGAGCCCATAAAATTTTGCCAGTATGGTCCATGCTTACCTGAAAATGAAGGCGGTGTACCACATAAACCCTTTCGGCAGGGGATGCCTCGAATATGTTTTGAATAGCGCACTGACCGCTGGCTCTTCTCTTCCCAATTTTAAAGTAACAGATCCCTCATCATAACCAATCGCGACTGTATTCGAGCCTCGTTGAGCTTGAATGCACCAAACACGCTCCAAACCATAATTGAGTGTTGTTTCGAGTCTAAAAAAGAGTAAAAAGGCCAGCCCTTTTGATGCGACCAACCACCAGTGTGATGCTACAAGCTGTTTAAAATTATTCAGTAAGACAAAAAACAAGAACATACCTGTACGTGCTTACGTGCCAGAGGCG